CTATTTATTGAGACAGTCCGTTCACTGATTGTCTGGTTGCATACAAACATGCAAGGCACTTTTTGGTCTGGCTGGCTCTAATCAGATTGGTTGCTTTACATGTCAGCCAGTCTCTTAACTGTCTATATTTGTGGTTATTGGCCAGAATAAGCTTTAAAAAACTCTTATGCTAATAATAAAAAATATTTTCCAATGAGTCTATGAATGAAAAAATCAACCTTGCTATTTAAATGATTCTGAGAAATTGACGTTGAACCATGCAGTTGGCATATGAGTCATATTTCCATTTTAGCCCAGTAAGAGTGGTGTGGTGTGGTGTGGACTGGAAGCACTTGTGATGTCATCTGTGATCTCACCGAAGCTCCACGCCCACGTTACCTCATTTCCCCTGTTCGCCTCTACTGCTTTTCCCATTGACTCAAGCCCTTTGGTTGTAATTTCTAGTCCCTCAGGGTTTAGAAACCGGGAAGCTTGTGTTTCAAAAGGCACTAAGATTCTCCAGGTCCAATGTTTCTGATCGTTACTGAAGCGATACATCAAGACTAGGCCTAATGGCTCTCAGAGATCTTATGGATTACAGACGAGCAGTTTATTGATTGATGCTGCTTACAACAAAAATGCCTAGACTAATGATGGTGACTTAAAACTAATGATGGTGACTTAAAACATCAGAGCCTTAACACAAACGTGCAGCTCTTTTTGTCGCGTGTGTCATGTGCTTATAGTTTGAGCAGTTGTGGTTGTTTTGAGCGTAGTGTTAATTCTGGCCTTGTGACCTGTACTTTCTAAGGTGTTTTGGCTCTCAATGGCCTGCGACTGATCCATGTGCTCCGAAATGGCTAGAGATACTTGTGTTTTCTAAACACATGGCTTGGCCTAATCCAATCAGTATTGAAGTACTCTTGTCCGCTGGTTTAGCAACAAGCTTATAATCAGTAGGCCGTTGTGATTTACCCAGTTTGGCTGCTTCATTCTGGCCTGGCACGTACAACACTCATGAATGTTCATTCAGTATTCACTTTTGCCTTTTTAAACAACAACTTAGTCATTTGGTGACAGATGTAAAATGACTGATAAGAGCCGTAGCAAGAACATTTTGCGTTGTTCTTGTGTCGTGGTGTATGAGTAACTGATAAAACCCGCTCAACAGTAATTTTAATGTGTGCTGGTTGGCTTACCCGTGCCCTGCCTTAAGATAACCCAGCCGGGTGTGGTAGCAGTGCAGTGCTTGAATGATAATGTCATCGTATGTGTGTTTTGTTTGTTTTTAGCCACATCTCCCAATGCATCTTCAGAGTTGGAGCAAGCCAGACCTCAGACGAGTGGAGAAGAGGAGCTACAGTTGCAACTGGCTCTTGCCATGAGCCGAGAGGCCGCCGAGCAGGTACATCATGTCACTCAACGCCACCCTAAAATGCTGACACATCTACAGCTAATTATATGATTTATTATTGTGATGCTTAATGTACGTTTATGAGAAGGATTTTGGATCAATGAGTTCTAATGTTGGGCAGGGCTACCTAGAAGCACAGATGTACATTAAAGGATCAGCTCACTCCAGAATTAAAATTTCCTGATAATTTACTCACCCCCATGTCATCTAAGAGGTTCATGTTTTTCTTTCTTCAGTCGAAAAGAAATTAAGGTTTTTGAGGAAAACATTCCAGGATTTTTCTCCATAAAGTGGACTTCAACAGGGACCAAGGGGTTGAAGGTCCAAATTGTGGTTTAAATGCAGCTTCAAAGGGCTCTACACGATCCCAGAGTCAACAAGGGTCTTATCTAGTGAAACGGTTGGTCATTTTCTAAAAAAAAAAAAATGTATGCACTTTAACCACAAATGCTCCTGTTGAACTAGCTCTGTGATGTGCATTCATGACCTCACACATTACGTAATCATGTTGGAAAGGCCATGTTTTTTTCCTAGCGAAATACATTTTTTAGGTTTTAAAAGATTTAAACTTCCAGGATGCGCATATTTTAAACAGTAGACTGATACAAACACATAAATATGTGTCATTCAACATAAAAAAAACTTTTGAACGGTCCTCCTCCTCCACACTTTTAAGCATTGGGTCGGTACTTCCGCCTACGTCACGCGTGATCTTTCCAATTAGAGATGCACCGATTGCAATTTTCTTGGCCGATTCAGATTTCTGATTTTTTTGGAAGTGTGACCTGCCGATACTGATTTTTACCGATTCCGATTTTCTTTCTAAAAACTATCATTGACAGCATATACAAACAAAAATCTATGCAAATTTCAATGCAAATTAAAAAAATTATTTACATTAAAAAAATTATTAAACATTACAATTCCCCCAATCTGGACTAAGTTACAGATTTTCTCTCACTTAAACAACTCTCAAAATAAAGTGCTCTGTGACTGGAAAGAGAAAGAAATAGTTAACTTAAAATGAGTTGCTGTATGTAACAAAACAGATATCATTTCCCACTATGTTTATAAATGGTCACTGTTTTCCCCTAACCTTATTAAATGTGTCATCTTTCACATCAAATTCTTTGTTTCAATTAATTCAGTTAGAATAATAAGAAACTGTAGAGTTGTTACCATTCAAATGAAATTAGTATTAACAAACTCTATCTTTCCACTGCTGAGGAAACAGAAGCTGCATCTGAAGTAGCAATGCATGCATTTACACAGACTTTTTGATGAAGCTGAGGTGCCATAAATGCATTTACACTGCAAAATTTCAAATGCATAAATAATTTTATAAGATTAATGTTTTACATATTTTTTTAAACATAAAATAAATGTTTAAACAAAAAAAAATGCAATGATACTTTTAAATATGACTAAACCACCAGTAGGTGGCGGAAAATGTCTGTTTATTCATAAAAGTCATTTATTCATTCATTCAACCGATTCATTCAGAAACGAGGCATGTGACTGTCTTTACGAATGGGCCACTGAATCATGGACTCACTCGATTCGTTCAAAAACGTGGATTCGTTCAGTAATGAAACACCGCTGTGTGTTGCTCGGAAATCAGTCTCCATTTACACTGAATGCAATTAAAATTAGAATCATTCTCACGCGAAACGACAAATTTACACACAACTGTGATGTCATTGCCAGCCGCTGGTAATAAAAGGATCGGCTCAGAATTGGCAAGACGTGAGACTGACGGGCCGGTCACCGATCCGGGCCGGTAATGCGAAAAATCGGCCGATTCCGATCACTGGCCGGTCAGTCGGTGCACCTCTACTATAAAGATAACTATATTAGCGTCCACACCAGCGCACGCTCGTGCAATTCGGTCGGTGCCTAAAAAGTATCGAACTCGATACCCAGCCCTAGTCAAGACGATATTAGGCTCATTCTCCTACAGGGCTCTGAAACGGTTCAAGGAACGAAAATGCCCGCTCAGCTGTGAACTCCTCATAGGTAAGTCGCAATGGCAATGCACCGGCGTTAGAGTTTATCCGAGGATAGTGTAAGAAGGATTCAACAGATCACATGCAACTGCAGTGCTTCTGTGAACGGAGAAAACAGAAAACTATAGGCTTACATAAAAAGGAATATAGGCATATACACAAAATATATTTCACTTAAATCATTGACAGATTAACAAAACGAAAGAAAAAATGTGCTGAGTTACGGTTCATTGTGATGCGTTCCAAAGTTCTCGGAAAGGAAAACGAGACAGCAGAAAAAGTAGTTTTCTTTATTTTGCAAAAGCTTGACAGTTTTGAATAATGTCTTGCTTCTATCTGTATAACCAACCAGCATTGGTATGACCATCGCGCCGGTGCCTCACGCGCACACACAACATATTTTTGCGACATTGTAGCCTGTTCATTATCAAAATAAAATAGTTAAAGAAACAAATAAAAAGTTACACTGCTTCGTTGTACAAAATCTGTTGCGTTCAGCGTGACCACCGCTTCACTGTGCTAATATAGCCGATGTAAAGGATGATGTTTTTGACTGCCGATGCCGATATCTTGGAAAGCAGGATGGCCGATATAAAGCCGATATAATTGTATTTATTTTAATTAATATTTAAGAAATTTGAAATAATTTGAAAATGGATTAAAAAATAAATTTGTAAAATAAACATACTTATACTTTAGATGACAAAGTATTTTTCACAAATAAATAAATATTTAATAAAAATGTGATTTAAAAAGAAAGTAAACTGTAACTAACAGCACTCCGTATTCTGGGAAGTTTGTGTGCATTGGGAATCATATTTTTTCAAATAAAGCCAAGGGTAACACTCATTTTACATACAGCACACAGTGAAAATGACAGGAATATGACAGTGGGGCTGTTCCTGAAACCACACCTTCTTTCTTTGCGTGCACATTTGGGTGGCATTATGCAAATCTTCCCACATCGTGGGAAGACGGCGGCGAACATGAGGGAGAATGTGAGCACTGTGTGCTCAGGCGCTGCCGCTGTCAGCGCCATCAAAATAAAAGTCCCGCCTCGAACGCATCGGCCAAACAAAAACTTATCGGCCGACAAAAATGCTAAATACCGGCCGATATATTGGCCTTGGCGATATATCGGTCAAAACACTAGCCTTAACTTTAGAGGATTTGTTGTGGATAGGCATGGGCCGGTATGAGATTTTGACGGTATGATAACCTTAAGCAAAAATTTCACGGTATCACGGTATTGTCATTACAGCTCTAAAATGGACTGTGTCAGGGAGAGGGAGATATGGCAACAACATCCACAGGGATGCACTGCAGAAGAGGGCCGACGAGCACTGTGTCAGTGTGTGCCAAAACCCCAGACACCTGTCCCAGACCCAGAGTCTCTGAACCAGCCCCTGTAGCTGGACCCTCATGGGTGAGACTGAGACAGCAGATGCACATGTCCAAAGAAACATCAAGAAGTGAGAATCACATTGCGGATGTCCATATTGAAGAGATGCATGGATCATCAGTTCATAAAGGTATGAAACGCCTCCTTAATTGACATGTATAGGTAATGCGTGCTATGCAGTACTTTTCCATATTCCCATCATGTATGTCTTAATATGTTAAATCAAAATATGACAATAGGTAACTTTTTTTGCCACACTACCACAACCAAGTAGGCATGGGCCGGTATGAGATTTTGACTGTATGAATAACTTTAGGAAAAAAATAATGGTTTCACGATATCACGGTATTGTCGTTTCAGCTCTAAAATGTGTTATTTTTAAATGACTGGGTAAAAAAAAAAAAAAAAACTTTTTTTCCGCTGAACACAATATATTTTGTTTTTGAGCCGCATACAGAATATTAGGAACAATAGAATTTGTTTATTTTTTCTTTGATTTGTTTCCTAAAAAGTAGAAAAATAAAGACGTGACATCTTTATTTAACCTAAATCTGTTAGTTATTTAATTTTAGTTATATAATTCCTATACATATCATTTATATCATTTCATATAATTTAGTTATATAATTTCATATACATAATTTGAATTAATAACCCAATCTGAAGCAAAAACAGAATGTTCTGACTAGCTTTGTGAAATTATACTACATGCCTGAACGAAGCAAACAGCAGAAGCTCTGAATGAGACGCAGATTACTCTCTGACAGCAGGAGGCGCTTCAGGAACACCAGATACGGCGTTTCCTTGGTTACCGCTGTAAACAAAGCAGCGCTGCCTGAAACACCGCTTTAATATAAACTATACAGAGACGAGATTAAAAGAAAATACCACGTAAACTTTTCTGAAGACAGTCAGTTCCCCTCAGAAACACATTCCTATCAACCCCCAAATCAATATTGAGGATTTTTTTCCAATGCTTCGTGCATCATGAACAGTGAGCGATCTGCCTGCTACAGTATTTTTCTCTGTGCGTCCGTCTTCAGCGTCTCTGGCCTGTGTTAACGGCGTTTACAGACTTCATATTTTCACATAAATGACATTTTGGAAAACAATTGCATTGCAACGCAGTTTGTGCAAGTCCAGAACAGACTCGAGTAGCTTGTAATAAGACAAAAAACGTCCGGTTGCCGATCACGTAAGTTCCAAGGGAAACTGCTTAAGTTCGGCCGTCCTACACACACGTGACTGACAGCTCGCTCGCACCAGCAGGAGGAGGAGGGCCGTGTTACTCTCTGCACTCAACCTGAGGGATTCCTACACTTTCAGTCTTTGAGGAGACATGAAAAACAGCGCATACCGCAGGAACGGTATAACGGAAAATATTAGCGGTTTTGAAACCGTGAAATGTTCAAATCGCGGTATACCTTGAAACCGGTAACCGGCCCATGCCTAGTTGTGGAGAGAAACTAATAACTGTTTATATAATGTTTGTAAACATTTTGCTTTAGCCTACCGGCATTTTAGCCTACATTATTTCTGAATGTAATAGGGCTAATAAAATGCGACGTGAGCCTATACGCGAC